CGTCAAGGTAATTTTTCAAATTAATTTCTCTACTAATTGGAATTTTCTCTTACAGCTTGAGCCTAAGTGTGTCGCAGGATACCCTCTAGGTTATAGTTCTTCATTACTTTTTGATAAATAATTCGTTCTTATTGCGAAATAGGAGCACTATTTATCAATCGGTAATAAAAGACGTGAGGAAATTCTGTCTTTTTTAAAAACAAAATTTTTGAGGCGAAATACCCAAAAAGAAGTTTGTAAAAAATAATTTTATAATTTAGGTGCGACCTGTGATAATAAAATTTCTTTATTTTTGAAAACCACATTTTGGTACGACGTTAAATTTGTGAACTGTAAAAAATTAAAGTCGATCCTTCTACACAATACACCATACGAAATGTATATCAGGACAAAAAGGTTCTTACATCAATAAGTTATTCATCGCCAACACAGACATTTCATAATTTTCGATTTTCGAAAAAACGGTCTAAAATGTATGATCCAAATTACTTTTAGTAGCTGCGTTTTCAGCATCGCTCTTTTGGCTTTCCAAGAAGGCCTTCAGAAACTCGGTAATAAATGTATCTAATTTTGTTAAATTGCAAAGCATTAACTTGCATAGGGAAAACTTCTTAGAGACAATAAAATCGCTTTTGAGTTTCAATGTAAAGAACGAGAAATTCTTTGGAATTCAAAAATTAAAAAGCAAAATATTTAGTTTCAAAGATTATTGACCAAAGCCATGAGTTACAGGTTGATAAACCGTTAGTGTAACTACCATTGTCCCCTTCTAGGACAGTTGAAGAGTAAATGGCACATAATCCTTGCAAGTATTTGGAGCATTAGACGAGCAAACGATTTAATAAGTGTCATCATCCGGGGCAAATATATCATGGTACCCTTAGGAACATCATAAATTCCAGTCAGACGCAGGCAGGAGCACACACTTCCCTGTCCCTTATCCCTCAGGACGCTCTAGGGTAAACAATTGAACAGCAAATGTCAACGCCAGACCCTACGCACTATTTTCCGCTTGGCCAAGCGCATAAGCGGCCTATACTGATTTTTGTTCAGGGAATCTGATTAACTTAAGGATTATTTAAATGTGTGGGAAATGCGGGTTTTGTTCGAAATGCGAAAACCTTTTATTTAGCCAACCGTTGGCTCTTTTTAACCTATTTTAGAACATTCAATTAAATTACTGAGTCGCGCTAACTGAACGCCGGCAAAAACAAGAAGACGGGAATGAGGTCTATTGAATAAAAAAGTTAATATTTTTATTTACAAATATCCTGCAAAATAGGCACAGATTTTAGATAGTGATGAAAATGGGATTTTCATGCAACTTAATGCATCTCCAAATGTACTGTAAATTTTAAGTCCTGTCAACTGTAAACTTAACACAACAACATAATAGGCTTTTTTAACCAGGACAACAAGAATTGAATTTTTACATTTGTTTTTATTTGTTAAATACTAACGCGTCAAGAGTAAAGTAACTTTTAAATAATTTGTTCTAAAAGACTGTTTTACTGAAAGAAAAGTACAAAATAATAGTGAGGTTTGTTTGTACAAGAACAGTTGAAAGAAGATTGGTAGAAGCAACGCTAATTAGCAGACGGCCGACTGGCAAACCGTTAATTTCGGGAAGAAATATAGCAGCAATATTGGCATTTGCACGACACAATTTAAACGACTCGAAAAAAGTCCTATTTAGTGATGAAACGAGGTACAAATGATTTGGTTTTGAGGGAATGAGACGTCTAAGGAGACCAATCAATACGGAGGAGGATATCAATCATCAATCCAATGATGCAACAATTAAATAAGGGAAAGGCAGTATTTTTATGGGGTTGTTTCTCATGTATTGGAGTAGACTCCTTACACTTTATTAATGACAGGATGGTCCGATTTGTTTGTAAGGATATAATGCAACATACTGTGCTTCCTCAAGTCGTCCAACAGGACAATGATCCAAAACACTTTACACATTTTTCAACAGGCGTTTGCGGCAATTACGGCCGAGTTTTGGAGTGGCCCGCACAATCCGCAGATCTAAACCCTATTCATCCACTTAATGTTTTTCAAAAGTCGATTGCTTCAATGCCGCGTTGTTATCAACAAGTAATTAATAACAWTTGCTACGCCATTAATTACTAAAGGTTTTAATCGTCATTGGTCTAAAATGTGTTGTTGAAATAAAAMTCGATAGACTGAAATTTGTTGCTTTRCTTTTGTCACCCYTATTCTCATCGTTTTACAKGMTAARTATTATTTGTTTTCAACAAATTTTGAACTTGATTTAGAGCACCTCAAAATATTTTCAAAACAATWATTTTTGCGTAAATATTARMTTTTATTACARTAGGTCAAAAATCRAMATCCTTAAATTTTGTTTSAACAAACGTTAGTGAAAACAAACTTTGTTGTTTTACYTTTGTCCGATAGTGTATARATAAAATAYTKWTTGTTAAAATCACAACTTTTTATCAAACTTTAGTATCCATCAGCGATTCCTATCAACCAGATTAAGTTCACAAARAGTTGYTCTTKKTCAARTGACCATCAACTWWCMACWCTAAAACTTATTCTTTGATATCCATCTACTTGTTRCCYATTTTAATGTTTTCAATGTCGATCATCTTACACTAAATAAAATATTCTYTTAATAACGSAWTACTATTCGGATTGCTATCTATTATRACAACTCATACACATACACTTATAATAYTATATTATTCAATAAATCATGTATTTTCTCATATTGCTGGAAGGCTGTTTTGTTGTTGATCATAGTTGAATGTTTGTAGAACCTYTTACATTTTATTTCCCTGATACTCGCTTAGCTAGTGGAATATTTTCGGAACGGGTTTCTATATCAGACCAGTAAGTAGTCRATTCATGTGCCATATTTTTGGATAATGGGGCAACAGCTCGGAATAATATAGAATCTTTCCGATACATCAAGTAAAAAAACTGCAGGAACTTGTAGATAGTCCTTCATAACATTTATTTGACTTGCCATCGTCTGGCACCGTCTTAAAGATATTTGAGTAACAAGGAGATGTTTGTAGCTTCTTATCCCTGACCAGCATTTGCTTATTAAAGATTTACGCCTGCTTTCCCACAGGCTGTAGGCATCTGGCAAGTGTCCAGACGCATTAATCATAAAATGCTAATAAAATAGATACATCTCCAACACACAATGCACGTTAGGCGTTAAAAGTTTCCCAGTCGACGCCTCTGTGGAGGCTCATAAAATTTTTCAACTTGCAGGACGTCGATAATCCCCGGGATGTTGCTCCTGCTGTTCGCTTTCGGCGCCCACGCCCGGAACCTCCGGACCAATTACGACGACTCCGCCCTACAGCCAATCCTGTCGCAGTCCCACAGGACTCGCATTTGTTATGAGCTGTGCATGTCCGGACTAGGCGGGACTCCTTGCGGGGACACTTGCTTCGACCTCATGCCCACGAACTTGCCCCTCGTAGGACAAAACCAGAATAGTCAGAACGAGAGCGACAATAACGGGACGTCCATCAGGGTGTACAACGCTACGGCTCGGGATGACTCCTGTACCGTATTGTGCAAGAACCGATTAGGTTATCCGTTGTGTGCCTGCACTTACGATGACTCGAAGCTGTACGCTACCAATTTTATGGAAATTTGTTCCGCGTTTTGTGTGAGTTATGGCTACCAGGTGAGTAATTCGTTTGTGTTTATTTTGGCTTTTTATTGCCCACTTTTCCCGTTCRTTTCCTTAAATCTTAATTTGGCAATCGAATTTCGAGACACTTTTTATAATACCAAAAAATGAACTAACGCTCTTATTTACAGTTGTATCCAAAKAGTATAAATTGGAAATTATTTTGATTTTTCAGCCAGTACAAACAATTTGTAACAAAGCTTTTCAATTAAATCAKAAATTCTCCTCTCAGATCCAYCCTCCCCCTTAGTTTGACTTTTCATACWTTTTTATTAATCTGCTGCTTTTATTTCACTTCTGGGGCTCTTTTATCTCTCCCTGACATATTTTGCGTAAACCGTAATAYCASAATWTAATTTTTCTCATTCCRCGAWAACAATCKTATTTATTRCTAAAATTAWTWMAACTTTCATAAATGCYAGTSGAGARAAYAWAATATTTATGCTCAYTGTTATTAYACCATTTAATAGTAAAAAARTTAGTAATWSAAAATCGTACGCAGAATACCTTTAAAACATTYTGGTCTTAAACGTTTTGTACGCATACGTGTGCGCAKAMGTGCTCATTTTTTCTTTGTTTTTACGCCATATTTAAAAAATACATATTATCCCGTATTTTATGAACTAAAATATTTAARACGCTATCATATATAGTGTGKAACAAAATTAAGGAATTWTAATTAATTTATATTTAWAGGATTCYATTGATAAAGCATCACRTAGTTCAATTTTCTAAAAAACGAGACACTTTGAATACAATGAACAATGACAATTTGTTACAAAATGAACAAAATTTCATACAAATCAATGAGACAGATTGCGCGAAGTTTTGATTATTCCATACTTTGCACCACACTTCATGCGCTTTTCACGAGAAAAATATACACTATAAATTTAGTGTGATCTCCAAAGCAAACATGTACCAGAAATTTTTCCTTGGAAAGAATTTTATAACTTGTGATTTCAAACCTTTATATATTTCTATTGAGCATGAACTATGCTGGCTAATAATTGCCGATTCGTGCTGTTTTTCTTTCAGTTTTTGGCTCATCAATCGAATGTTTCTTTATACTTCTAGTCTCACGAAATATAATCTGTTATTTGCTACTTATAATGCAGGAAACCGACAAATTAGTAATGATTAGAATATGAAATAACTGAACTCAAACCTCATAGCAACTCTGTTTTGCTATTTTAGACCTTTTCTGCAGAAAAATAATTAAATGCCAAAGAAAAGTATATATACAAGTATTGTAATTTCTTTTAAATGAGAAATTGTCGGCCATTAAAGCGTTTTAACTAAGCATGCGCCTCAATTAAAAAAATAATGTCTGTCTTTAATTAGGTATGCTAAATGTATAAAGACTTTAACTGTCTAAAGTAGGCCTTTTATTTAATTAAAAGTTGAAGGATCGTATTTTAGCATAAATTGAAGAAATAAAAACAGAAAAACAATGGAACATTGAATTTGCGGTAATATTTCAACTGATTGAAAACTTAATTGAAAACTTGATTGAAAACTTAAATCTCATAATAAAACACTTTTTTAAAAACAGTAAATAGCAGATATTACAAGAAATATCTCTCTACTCACCAGATTCAAGCAATGACCTGAAAGCCTAACTCCTTTGATACATACTTATTGTCATTTTCTCATTAAAAACTTGCTCAAATAGTTAAGATTTAATAAAATTATAATCATGGTCACTTACTTTTGTCGCTAAAACAGAGAGAATTCTGATCGAAAACAGGTATGGACAGCCATGGATTATTGCCACTTGTTTGGGAGATTCAAAAATATAAAAATAAATAAAATATATTTATTCCAAAAACTGCTTATTAAGTACATAATAACATTAAAAATAATGAAAACATAAAATGCTTTTATAGATATTTATTGGCAGGCTCAGAAAGAGTGCAATCTATCATTAGCGCTCAAATTAAATCAAAATCACAGTCTTGCTTAAATGTAAAATCGAGATGAACGGAAAAAGAAACAATGCGCAGTTTCGAAGTGAATAAACGAATAGAGGTATAGAGGTAATTTTGAATTTCAAACACCTAGAAAGCAAATAACTACATTTTCAACGTATTTTTGTTTAAATACTGCAGGAAAAGGTTTCCACATAAATCATAAATATTATTAAACCCAAAAAAAAACTAGGTTTCCTTAAATAATATCAGACGATATTAGGTATATGTAATGGTAAATAAGCTCACGTTTTTACAAGGGAAGAACATGTCTAGTAGTTTTGCAGCAGGACTAAAGCCTCGAAAGATTATTCACTTAAATAGTATTAGAAACAGTTTTCTTTGATCTTGAACAATTGATCTTAAAAATTCATTCAAATATAATTTTTTATCAATAAAATAAAAATGTCTTCGATTTTTACTGTACAATTATGAGAAACTTGTTAATAATATCTTGCTGTTGGGCAACAAACATAAGCTGCATAAAAACGAAAAGTCATGCCATTACAATAAGAAACACACCTCTACACTTTCTTTCAGGTATTACAAACTCGATACTACTTTATCTCGTGCCCCACTGAATTTATTTCTTCAATCGCGTTATTGTCTTATTTTAGCTTTATGGCTGCCAAAACTGCAGCTTGTACCGCGAATATATCATCAACAAGTCATCTGATCCCAACAACCCGTTCGACACTGCAAGTATGGATTTGGATGGATCAGTTTCGATAGGTTGGGAAGCTTGGTGTCGAGAAGAATGCTCAGATGGAAACGGCGGAGCCGCTTGCAACTGCGATTTACTACCATAATTAAAGGTATATATTGTAATTTAAATTACTTATTATTATTTGAAATTTACAAGAAGCTCTTTAGTTGCCTGAATGAGTTGAGATAGATTGTTCGCTTCTGTACCTCAAACCAGTTGCTCCATTTAAAATTACTTTAATGAATTGTTCTTTAACTTATTAAGATTAGATTGGCGTTCTACCAAATAACACAGTTAAATACAACGAATCAAAAAGTAACATAGAAAGTACCAAAGTATCGCAGCTTTACAGGTGACATTTGCTTTTTTTTTTTTAGTTTTTAAAGTATGTAATGCATTTGATTCACTACGTGATGAGATAATAATCACTACGTGATGATAATAATTTATATAGGAAAATTAAGTAAATATTTAGGATAAAACATCTTATGTATTTTTTTACTACTAACCTGAGAAGTCACCATTATTTATTCCATTTCCTTAGTGAGAACTTTTATTTCTCTCCCTAAGTCAATAATAATAATAAAAAGGTCCTTAGGTGAATTGAATACGAGATATTTTATGTGTAAGATTTTCGTTATTTTTGTTTTGCCTACCGGTTCAAGTTCAGGCGAGATTCCATCCATTTCCACTTCTAAATCACTGTCGCTTTAAGATTCACTAATTTTTCCCTTTTTTTCCCTAAACTTTCCCAGAACTTTTACCTATTTTCTGTAAACCGATAAATAATATACTATTTGTGTTTTTCTATAACTTTATTTTGCTCTTTTGTACATCAGGAATAAACAATCTCCAATAAATGTTTGCCAACACTTTTTGTATATTTTGATCCATACTAATTATTATATAATTATTTTGCACACTTTCTAACACCCTGTTGAATATCTGTTTAAATTCCAATAATTCCAATAAATTATGACATAAATAACACGAAATGTGAAAAAACCATGTACTTATTGTTTTTAATTAACTTTTATTTAACTTAACTGCAAATAAATTTGGTAGTGCGTATCTTCTAGCTGCTTGATCGTTTCGTAGTGGCATTTAATACACAAGTATAGTAAAAAAATGATATAAAGGAAAAAACATTATTTATTTTATGGAAATCCAAAATGCGATTGAAAAGTCGACAAATAAAATAAAAAACAAAACATTTCTTTTCACAGCGGTTCTATTCAAATTATTTTTTGGAAGCCTTAATGTAATTGTAGTAGTAGTTTCGTTTTAAGAATCGTGTTCAAAATGCCCTGAAAATTACAATAATTAGATCGTAGATCACACATTATCCGGGAAGATTTTCAACTCACAAACTAATCACTTTAAATCAAATAACGTAAACTACCTAACGACATAAATAGTTAATAAGGATTCAAGAAGAAACTTTGTCTGAAAATTAAGTAAATTATGATTAATAGGTAAATTTTTAAATTAGGTAAATTTGATTCCAGTCAGTTTAAAGGCAAACAATTCTCAAAAAAAGAGATCTGTTTTCCTATTCATAAAAATCGCACTACAAATTACATGTAGCTAATAAAAGATAGTTTTTTGCTTAATTTAACATTAAACACTCCATAAGTAAGTAGACTAAACTCAAATAAGCATTTCATAAAAGTGCAACAATTTTTTGTTTTCCTCAAAAAGTCAAAATGAAAATAAAAATTAACAAAAAAACTTAACATAACTGAAAAACAGATGATAATAATGAGCAATTTTAAGACATAGCTGCCCTCAAACACCCAGATCGGGAGATAATAGTACTTATGATTATTGAGTTTGATTATCATAACATCGAATTTATGCCACTCTTTATATTAAGGACAATGTAGTTTTCGACTCGTATGTGAAATACATTAAAATATGCCAAAAAGAAAAAAAAATCTACTCAAACAATATAAACAAGCAATTAGTTCATGTAATCTTTTTTTTCAGACTACTTTTACTACTTAAAGAAGAATTTTTGAGCAAGCACACCCCTAAGCCTGACAACAGTCCCTTTACATGTAAGCGAAACACAACTGGAATATTTGAAGCCTGCTTCTACTAGCCATAGGTCAATTCGATTTCAATTATAGTCTATTACTAGTGATTTTTCCGGTTTCAATTAGTAGTCAATTTTAAAAATCTTTATGTAACTACATTGTCAAAAAACGACAACATGTGTCAACTATGTTATTTAGCATTATCTAAGATATAAGAACACTTGATCAAAAATCTAGTTAGAAATACAACAATAATTTGGATTTGCTAGAAAACCATATACCTAAGACATGCCTGTAAAAATTATAAATAAAAATTACACATTTTAAAGCATGATTAGAGTTAGATAAATGTAAATACAATGACAAAGTCACAACGTCTTCCAATTCTGTATATATTGACTAACTAAGCTGGTATTCCTAAAAATTTAATAATAGATTTAAAAAAATATTTTTATTACAGATATTTTCCAGTTTATTATCATTGTCTCAGAAGTTAATACATCTAGTTATACCGACTTCTTTCCCAGTTACCAAAATTGTTCTTTTGAATATGTGTTAAGGAACCAATAAAAACATATTGTTCAATGCGGTTGTAAATCAACTTAAAAAAGCTTTTATATGTATTAAATGCAATCTAAAACTCGTAGCCATAGAATAATCATATCACGATTATATCATGTAAATAGTTATGATGTCAAAATTATCCAAATGATTCTTCTTCCTACTTATAGTCAATATTTTTGTTTGTTTATGACTAATATTGTTTTAGCTTGTTATGTTAAATGTAAGGCATTTTACTTTGTCTTGCACACTAATAAAAAATAATATTTCATATTCTATCTTCCACTTTATGTTGCTTCAATCATTTAATGATAAATGATTAATATCATTAGATATAAGGTGATTATTCAGATCTAAACATAATTTTCAATTTTTGCGTTCAAAGCTACAGCGCTCAGAAATATAAAAAATATTTATCAATTGTAGACGAATTGATACCAAGCATATTTTGATCACATTTTCTACTGTAAACATGTTTTTTATAATGCAAACAAATTTGCTTAAAGCTTTGCCATTTACTGGGTTTACATTTTTACGGTTAATTTTATGAGAATATCTCTATTGTAACCAAATAACGTAAACAATATCAAAGAAATTTCCACGTTTTAAAAATATTTTTGTATTTAATATGAAAAAATATTAACACACAAAGCTACTTTGATGTCATCATGCTTCTATATACTATTCCAAAAAAAACTGTTCAATGGATCAGTTGAGTAAGTAAAGGTACTTCAATCCGCTGCTCGCAAATACCCTGTATATTATATTTAATATGCTTCACAGTAGAAATGTATATTAAGACGAACTGCGTTGTCAGGAAACATGTACTTTATATTGGACATATCTTTGAAGATAACATAGGTTTTAAAATTCCTCTCGATCTAGACAATCTAAATTGATAAGGGATGCAGCTACAGTTTCTCAAAACAAAATAGTTAACACGAAAGAACTGTAGGTTTTATAATCGGGACAACCTAAGTTATCATTAGGCATAATCATAGCGATAAGTAATTTGTTACAATGTTACCTTGAGTTTGTATTTACTACATTATGAATTAAATCAAACTGTTGTGTAACGACAATAAATAATGTTAGAAAATATTGTAAAACTATAATAGTCATATAACGTATATATTTAATATCAGTTATAAAAAAGAAATATTCGTCATAAAGGCTTAAGGGATACTGTGCAATATTGTTTTGTGGCTTTTACCAAAAAAGTTGCTCTAAACGACATTCAAAAATGGTTATTTTTATACGTGTATATGCTTGCTGATGTTTTCCTTTGTAACCGAACTACGTTGTTGGATGCTTTTTAGATTATTGTCAATAAATGCAGTATTTTAGTATAAAACTGTTAGTTATGATTGCATTACAAATGTCTGCTGAGAATTCAAAAAAAGTCAGGTAAGTACTTTATTCTGATGTATTTTACTAAATTTTTAAAATTTTACCGAACTGTCCCATTGAACAGAAATTGGAAAGTATCAAAAACAAATAAACAGACTCAAATATTAATAAACTTAGTGTTTTTAAACCTGACACAAATGTGCATGAAGACAATACACGTACAACAACCAAAATTTCATGTCTGAACATATATGCAGGTTAAACTGCCAATAATTTAAAGCAAGTTAAACAAATAGATAATTTTAAAGGAATAAGACGAGTCTAGTAGTAGAAAATTGTCGACAAATCCGATTAAAATTTCGACGAAAAACAAAGTCTCATTGCATTATTGGTGGGAAAGTTTTACAGAACTACACATACATAAACAATATAGACTGTCATTTAAATCGAGCTTTATTTTCCATATCATATACAGTATATACCATATAAAATACTACAAGTTAGGCCTTATAGGTAAATATTTAAAAGATCAACAAGAAAATACATAGAAACGCATTATACACATCTAATAAACAATTAAAGTATTCAGCGAACTCGAATTCAGTATTAACGAACACACTATAAGTATAAATGGAAGGCAAGATGCAGTCTTTGGTGACGAAAAAAGAATATTTATATTCGAACGAATACAAATGTGTGTGTGTACATATTTGTTACGGTTACACGTTTTAATAAAAAGCTAAAAACTTTATTCAAAACTTAAGTACGCCTATTAACTACCGTTTAAAGGCCATAAAGTAAAAACAATTAATTGTCTGCAACAATTCATGTTTTCATTATCTGATTTGTCTACTCGCCAAATAAAGTAAACCAAACTATTTTATATACTACTAATACTCTAAAACAGTAATAATAACATTACTAAAAATTCTAATATCACATGATGTAAAATGTAAAACTAGCAAATCCATTTAAAAAATATTCGATTATAATGCAACATTTTCCACAAGAAGACTTTAAAATCTACTTAAGTACATTGTTTCTTATTATTTAGAATATATTTCAAGAATGTCTGAAAAATTCAGAAAATGTCCAATACATGTTCTTTTTCAAAATATCCAGACCATAATCCAGACTAAGATATGTAATTCAAATATATTGAACACTTAGAGCGCACTGCTTGAAAAATCAAAGGTTATTCCACAAAAAATTAACTGGAAAAAACGTTTATTCAGATCTCCAAAGGCAGGTTAAATGTACATAATCCACTAAACACCCTGTGTTTTCGGTTGCTTAAAATAGTTTCACGTGTTTTAGAAATCAATTTATTTCAAATTGGATTTAATAATTGAATTTGTTAAATTTTGATAATTTTTGAATAGGCAAAACAAAAAATATATGCTTCGCAAATTAGTTTTGATATGAGACTAGAATACATTACACTCCACATTTAGAAACAATTACTCCTCCACTTTAATTCTAGCAACATTTATTGTTTTCTAAAATTAGATACAGGCAATACACTATTTCTATGATAATGCAATGTCGCAAACCGGGCCAACTTATATAAGAAATCTTTTAATAGACAAAATGCATACTAAAGATCGTTTCAAAACATTTCGACTTCACACGAGAGAAGTGAGTTCCAACTTTACTTAAAAATAAAACAACTCTCTCACCTTTTTAAATTAATTGACATTTTTGAATTGCGATTTATGCGAGGCAACAAAAATTAATTTGAAAAATAATTGCAACTGCATTACCATCTAAACATCAACGAAAATAGTGTAACTGCCTTACTTTGGTTATACGTGGTATGTATCATATATTTCATAGTAAATATTTATAAATTTAACATTGAAAATGCTTGCTTTTGAGCGATAGAGAAAGAGAGAAACGTGCTATAGAAAAGTTCAAATGAAGAGGCAATTAGAGAAATTTGAATATCCAATATATGTACGTGAAAAACTGTCTCCAGACCATCTGGGCACCAGCTTCCCAAAAATTGACCAGTAAACTCCAACTTATTTCTAATTCTATTAAGTCGCCGGTTTATAGAACCGCTGAACAAACTGAGTGAGATTTAGTACTTCGCCTGGTCCTTTGTTGTGATCCATCTGAATGTAATCTTCGAGATTATGGTCAGCACCTATATTAAGTCGCTTTTACTAACAATAGATTTGAAGATAAATACATATTGTATTGTCTTCAATGCAATTTTGCTGAGAAAAACATAGTTCACAAAATTTTTAAAGCATTTATGCATTGCATAAACACATTTACGAATTGTCTAACAACTATTTTGGTTCATTAAATCATTTATCTAGAAAGGATTAAATACTTATATCAGGTTGAATTTAAAAAATGCATGGAATGCCATGGAAAACACATATATTCAACGTTATTAACAGATCTAACGGATAATGATTAAACATTTAAAAAACGGCTGCCCAAAAGAATTTGAACTTCTTTGAGTTTCCTTAACAGAAAAAATCAGTTACAAAACAGCATGAAAACAAATTATATCATTGAGGGTAGGGACTAACATGCTTAGTCCGTATTTTACGGAATATAATAGCTTTACGATTGTCTAATTATTATCGGACAAGTGTGGCTGTGTCTGTGTTCAACCCAGACATTATTTCATATGTGTTTCATATTTCGGTCGTATATTCCCCAGTTTCCGGACGAGGTCTATATTTTCGCGCTTCTCGATATGTTTAGAAACTGATTCTAACTCTACTTAAAGTTGGGTAAAAATGGGAAATTCAATTATACGATCCAAGACGCATGAAAACATTTATTCTGAATAATTTGGCCTCCGTGATTGAAAAAACGCCAGAATAATAGTTTCGTCTAAATGCAGGTTGAAAACGTCAAATTAAAATATTTTTAACAAATCCGTTATTTGTTATTGATGTGAAAAGCTTCACTGGAAAACTGCATGTGATAATGAGGTATGTACAAAATTACTTACCTCGTAAAATATTAGTTTATTTCAACGTGTTAAAAAAATGTTATGATTAATCAATAACATAATTAATTACGTGATGTTTCAAAAACACTCAACTTACTTGAATTAGTGATTGCTGGATAGTTTGGAGGCGGCTTAATCCAAGTTCCATCTGGTCGCTTCATATGTCTTCTATCGGAGGAGAAATCGTTCACAAACTCGGCAGCAGGAATAACTCTGAAATATCTGAAAGGAAACATTTTTTGATACGAGATTCCACATATTAGATACCAAGTTGAAGATGCAAAAATCCAATTAATTGCATTATAGGTACATATTGTATTCCTATTGCGTATACTATTGCGTATGTATTAACCGTAAAACGTAGGACATATTTGCATGCAGTGTGGCAATATTCCGAATTTTTGTATGGATGACTTAACAACATAATTCCAAATCAAAATCAATTCCTGGGCTTCAGTCATTTATTGTCTATTTATCAATTAAAATACGTTTCGGTGTTTTCCACAATCACAGTTCGTCAACAGCTTCATCATATCACACACTAAAATACATCACAATTGCAACACTTTAAAACATTCTAAGATTAATTAGGCCTAACAG